AACAGATTTTTCATATTATTTTATTAATCCATGTCACATGTCCTCATCCTACCTGCCACTATTCAGTCTGGGCTCCCAGACCATGGGACAGTGACATCCACATTTAGGGTGAGTCTTCCTTTTATGGGGACACTCTTATAGATACCCATTACCATGTCTCAGGGGCAATTTTAAATCCAATGAGTTGAAAATAAATATCCTATCTGGAAAGATGCTCAACAATGTTAAGATGAAGCAATCAACAACATCATCATTGTGTGTACCGCTGTCGTGTTAGTCCCAGTTCAACTTCCATGCCACTCCATCCCCCACACCTGCCAGCTTCCTTATGACAGGTTACCCCAGACAGCAAAGCCACTGTCACCCCCATTTTGTTCTACAAAGCTATGAGGGTGAATGAAGAATGATTAAGCCAGTGCTTGCTGACTGACAGCAAGTTAAAGTTCCAACTTGTCCCAGTAGCCTAGAGCCCCAACTGCAAGACAATAATGTGTGCAAACTGAAGACTGACAGTATCTGTTAGTATCTCCTGGTTGGTAAGGAGAAATGTGTGAGCTCCACGCTTATCAAATAAAATCAGCGGGCATCAATGGCTGTTATATTATACCTAAAATTGTAAGCTTGGGCTTGGCTCAAAATATACCATAGAGTTATGTAATCAACACCATCAACTGCTTTCTATATTTATATGAGAAAAATAATAACATACTCTGATGCCATGGGAAGGGAGGAGCTGTGCGCCTTGGTTTGGCGCACCCTTTCAGGCCTCCTCCTCAGCTCTCCAGCACAGCACCTCACTGGAGGACTTCTTACCTATGTGGCCCACGCGGCCCTTTCCCTCCAGATACCCCTGATGTTCCAAACAGAACCTCTTAGGACTTGTGCTGACCTCTCCATCAAGAACAGACATCATTTGTACAGCGCAGATTCTTATGGCCTTGCCTCAGGTGACTGACAGAATTTTCCTGTCTGTTTGCTCTCTCAATTCTCATTTTCATTCAGTTTCATTCTGTGGGGAGCACTACAACCCAGCACACTTTTATGAAGGACGTTTGGTACTTACATGCAACAGTCTAGTGCCACATCAGTGAGGAACTCAGAAATTTTCAGCGACTTCTTATTGTCAAGAATGCTAGACATTCAATATCTCTCATAATGTAGCTTTAGTTAAAAAAATCAGTTTGATACTTTTCAATCTTTAACATGCTCTTAGCAAATGAAATGTCACTGATCTTTAAATGAATCCTTTTATCTTCAAAGTACTTTCACTCCCTGGAAGTTGTAATAGTTTGCTTTTCATGTGGTTTTCAAGAGAGAGAGAGAGAGAGAGAGAGAGAGAGAGAGAGAGAGAGGCCACTTAGCAAGCCAGAGCTCAAATTACCTCAACTCACAGGTCCAGTGTTTGTTTGAGGCAGTTTCTGATGTATCCTAGGCAGGTCTTGAACTTGCTGTGTAGCTAAGACTTCCCAGTGGCACTTGAAAACGGAAGGATTTTCACTTCCCAGCCTCTCTTTGGGTAACCATTTAGGGGGTATAATATACAACCACAGCATTCTTAGTGGGACCACTGAGAGCACGTGCTTATTGGAGGTGGCAGTGTCAGAACAGTTTTTACAAAACCCAGCAAAGATGTATCAAGTTCTTACTACTCTAGGCCAGATCAAGTCCTAGTTCTTATGCTCCATGGGGGAAAGGGCAACCTGTATAGCCACCAAGCAGGTGAGTAAATGAAAAAGCCCAGCATCACCTCAAGCTCTGAATGGACAGTGAGGGAAATTTCCTCTGACTGTGATCTCTGAGATGAGATCTCAGGTAATGAGGAGAGCCAAGGACAAGAAACTCAGAGAAGCAAGGACAGCTGGAAACGTCATTGGGTTGCATGTGAAGACCGTGTGGAGGTCTGGGAACACGCAGAAAATTGTGCCTAGAAGGTGGTGGGCAGAGAAAACCAGCGTGAGAAGAGGTGACAAAAGCCAACCTTGAAGGTCCAAGGAAGCCAACACAGCAGTGAGTACTTCACTCAAGGGTCTTACATCAAGAGTAACACGACCTAATTTACAAAGACAAATTATCTCTCTGGCCACTTGGCAGAAAATGCATCCGGGTCAAGAGTGGAAACAAGATGAATTGGAAGACTACGTGAGATAACGGTAGCTTGGCAGAGGGATGGGAGAGGGAGAAAGAAGTGGACATCCATGGTCTCCATCACATCCACACTGGGGGACTGTGATACTGGGTGTAGAAAGCCATGATACTTAAGCAGACACATGCTTCGAACATGGCAATGCTTGGTGTATGTGCCTTGACATGTGTTCAAGCCTTCAAAACCAGTTTTGCATCCTTAGTTTCTATACTTTTTTCTCTCCTGCTTTTACTCACATATTGTATTTTACTATGGTGCTTTGATATTCAAAGAAACAGATCAAGGGGGATTTCATATTTAGGAAAAATACAGTTGATGCTATAATATAAAGCCACCCAATAAAGAATTCAAATCACAGTAGAGTGTCAGAGAGGAAATTATGCAAAGAAATAAATCATTTGAAACAAATGAACAAATATAGACGTCTAAATATGTGAAATTTAGATAAAGTGAAATGGGCAAATACAGACGTCTATATTATTTTAGACAAAACAAAATAATAGCCATCATGAGTTTGAGCCCAACATAGTGTGTAAGTAAGTGAGTGAGTGAGTGAGTAAGAGATTCTCAATAAACATTAGCTGGACTACTATGCCTAGGCAGAAGACATGGCAGCCAGTTTTCATTACAATTGAAGACTTCTCCAGCTTTGATTTTCTTTTCTCTTAAAGTACGGGCTATTCCTTTGCTCCTTTTTAAATGATTTTTAAGCTAATCATACAACTATGAAGGAATGCTTACACAATTCTAGAACTCTACAAATGACATATTTGAGCTTCAGGTAGAGCTCATAAGAGGAGATGCATCAATCGAGGGTTCCCATTGTCTCTGCATGTGCTTTCCAGGACACTTAGCATGCTTCAAGAAAACAAGACCAGTTCTTGCCACTTTCCACCCCAAACGTCAAATGGCCCCTGAACTGTGTGAAACTTGGCCCCAGCTGGTGTGAAAACTGGCAGAAACTTGTATGATAGGCAGTCTGGGTTTGTCAAAGCAGTTCGTGAACTTTGGCCAAACTTTCTGGGCTTCTGGTCCAAGACTTAGTTTGTAATGCAATGTGAAACCACGTGCATTTCAGATGGTGTCAGGTTTCACCTTGGAAATTTGGCCTAGCTTTCTAATCAATCATCACTTTTAGTAACGATGAAAGCCAACACACCTTTCTGGGAAAGAAGACGGAGCGCTGACTGATGACAGCTAGGCTGTGAACCACCCCTGCACTTCTGCCAAAGGAACACTTCACAGAGTGGGGACTTTCCCTTTTACCTGGAGAGGCCACACTGGGGGACTGTGATACTGGGTGTAGAAAGCCATGATACTCAATTCAGGGTGACCAGCCATGTGAAATATCACCACCCACAGATCAAGGGGCTTTCATTTTCTCACTTAAGGATATGGGTTCCATTCCATTCCCCATGACAGGAGCTATCATGATGCTCCCTCTCCTGGACCACTGATGAGCTTTTAGCTTCGAGGCAGTCATCAACTAGGATAACTAACTGAATGGAGAAACCTGCTTGCCTGGAGGCATCACTGTTTCAACATGAAGTTAGCTGAAGAACAGGAAGGGAAGCAAACCCAAGCACCTTTACCCAGCTTTAAGGAACATGAGGTAAAAGGAAGGCAAAAACCTCTTTCATCTGCATCAACTACATATTTTGACAAAAATTTTTCTGTAGTATTCATAAATTCAATAATTAACTAAATACAGAGACCTCCATAGTTACTGCTTTCAACCTGAATATTTTAAATGTATGTTTCCACCATAAAAAAATTCTCTCTTCAACCAAATACTCGCTTTTGTGCGTAGTGACATGAGAAAATTGAGAGGTATGTCTGAACAGAGCCACTACATCATTGGAACAGTATGTCTGAACATTTGAGTAATGAGGCCCAGATGTGAACCCAAGCACTTGGCACTACCAAGGCAACAACAAAGCATTTGACATTGGTTATGATGGTCGAAGGGGCCACATCTGAGCAGAGAACAAACAGCCCTCTGCTCACAGTGCTAAATTGTGTTACACCTCTTATCTGTCTTACAAATCTGGGAAAACAAAAAGTCCAAACAAGTGTTATTCAAACTTACAAGGAAGAATAAATATGTAAAATACAATAAATTTTTTATCTATGCTAGAACATATTTATGCAATAGCACGAGAAGTTTCATCAGAGGGAAATGCCAAATTCAAGAGAATACCACATGGCCTTTCCATTGCAAAACAACGTGCTCATCTAGAGAACCCAACGGTCACTGGAGAGGTGGCTGTTGGATGGCTCCAGTAGGTTCATTAGTTGTTGAATGTTCTATTTGTAATGGAGCTATGATAATGCACAAAATACACATACTCATTAGCAAGATATTTCTTGCTTATGAGTGGCTTGTCAATCTTTTCAGATGTTACTAAGTCATGCAACACACAAAGGATAAGGATAGTTAGGATGTTTTGAGTTGGAAAATCATTTCTCTCCCAGGACAAGTGCTTAACTTACCCGAGGCCCCTGATCACCTTGTTCTCCCTGTAGAAGAGCAAAAATAAGAATAAAGTTTTATCTGTAATCCATACATGATACATAATACAAAGGTCTAAAGACACACCACAGATCATGGCAATATAGATTTCTGGTAAATTAATTTCATTAATGCATTTTCTCACCTTATCACCTTTTGGGCCAGGGGGACCCTAGGGAAAAAAAAAGAAAAAAAGAAAATATTAGCTTTAAAAGGACTTGAATAAGCCTACCATGTCAATGGAAAGATTTATGGGAAACGTAAAGAAACACACAAAGGATAAGGATAGTTAGGATGTTTTGAGTTGGAAAATCATTTCTCTCCCAGGACAAGTGCTTAACTTACCCGAGGCCCCTGATCACCTTGTTCTCCCTGTAGAAGAGCAAAAATAAGAATAAAGTTTTATCTGTAATCCATACATGATACATAATACAAAGGTCTAAAGACACACCACAGATCATGGCAATATAGATTTCTGGTAAATTAATTTCATTAATGCATTTTCTCACCTTATCACCTTTTGGACCAGGGGGACCCTAGGGAAAAAAAAGAAAAAAAGAAAATATTAGCTTTAAAAGGATTTGAATAAGCCTACCATGTCAATGGAAAGATTTATGGGAAACGTAAAGAACCATATTGTCAGTTTTCTCAAAGAACTTTAGTTTTTAAATTCTAATTGTAACATAATTAGAAAAAGAAAATAGTAGTACATACATTCATACACCTATAATTTCTGTGCTCAACTTCAGTTTGTTTCAGATCATCTCTAAAGCTTGATATTTTCTCCTTTTTATCTCACTTGCTCATCTAGGGTATAGTAATTTAACTTTACTGTATAGTTCCCTAGTGACATATTGAACACCCTTTTAATATACCTATTCAATATTTTACATTCTTTTCATAAAGAATTATCAGCTTCTGCCTTTGTTTCATTAAATTATCCTATTGATCTGTTAGAATTTATTATATACTACATGCCACATATATGTATACATAGAGATTTAAAAATCTTTATTTAGTTTGAATTTTTGCCACCTATATTTATTAGAAAAAACATTTTTCCCATGCTCTGTTCTGCTTGTACATTCTGTTGAAATGTTCTTGCTGTTTTTTTAGGTGGTGGCACTACTGGGGTTAGAACTCAGGTCCAGCTGGGTGTTGAGAATCTATGCAAATGCTGTATCACTGAGATACATCTCCATTCCCTATCGGGGCATCTTCAATGAACAGACACTGCTAATTTTGATTAGCAGTCAATATAACATTTTTCTCTTTATTGTTACGCTTGTAGTCAACTAAAGAAATCCATAACTATTGCACATCATGAGGAATCAGTCTGTTTATTCTACAAGTGAAAAGGTTTATTATTGCATCTTTCATATTTGAGTGTGACTTCATTGAGAACTGATTTTACGGGAGGTGAAGTCAGGATGTTTTTTGTCCCCAGGTGGTTATCAAGTTAACCGAACACTGTTAACTGAAAATGGCATCTTTTCCCCATTGTGGTACTGTGTTACCTTTCTCATAAATCAGGTGACCACATGTGTACATAATGTTTCCTTGTAGGAATTTCTTCTTGTTGAGAGCCTATTCTTCTATAGTAAGAAATGTCTAGAGGCATTAATTATGCTGTCCATTCTAATTCTTGATAATGAAGTCATATTTTGTGGTTCAGCACGGTCCAAGGAATTAAAATGTCTGTCTCATAATTATCTTCACCATCTCCATTTGTAGTGGGGCCAGGACATAGGAGCGTAAGGCCTGGGCAGGAAGTGAAGGGGAAGGGTCTATCACAAGGGTCTATACCACTGCTGGCAGAAACATGGGGTGCCTGCTGCAACCAAAATGCCGCTTTATGCTAAGCATCAGCCACTTCAGAGGGACAGCACTGGAGCCCACTCTCTTCACAGTTATCTTTGTGTTCCACTTAAGAAGTCTCTAGCATCCCCACACCACAACGAGATTTGTCTGCTTATTCTAAACCAACAGCTTTATCACTGTCTGTTTCACATTTGCATCCAAATCCACTGGAACTGATTTTGTATACCATGTGGCTATCTTTGTTGTATAGGTAACATGCCTTTTCGGTAAGATCCGTGAGGTTAGATCCTCAAACCAACAACAACAACAACAACATCACGTCTTGTATTTTGCATGTTTTCTCATCAACAAGGAACTGTGAGTTGTTGTTACATTTAATCTTCCCTTCAATGCACTGAAGAATTATGATAATCCTTTCACAGAGGCCAAAAATGAAACTCAGATCTTTCCTATGTGAGGCCTCTTGGAAATGAGCTGTCCAGGATTTTAATTCATTCTGCATGACTTTAAATACCAAGACCATGGAGCACAGACGTGGAACTTGATTCTCAGAATCACCCATGTGTCTGGTGCCTGCCTTCAACATGGGACTTCTGAAATGGCCCCTGCTTTACATCCTACCATACAGATACCAGCGCTAAGGCTATGGGTTCTAAATGAAGAAAAAGGAAAGAAAAGGCTGAGCAGGTAGCAGGAGATAGGGCTCAGATAATACAATCACCTTCATAAAATCCGTTTCTTTTCATCCTCCAGGTAATTTTGTCAACAGGTTAGAGGGAAGTTAAGAGAATTATATTTTAACATTTTTGGTGAATGTTTAATATGCCCATTAATATTTTCAGCAAATAAGGCAGTGAATAATAAACACCAAAGCTAGGGATATTTGTATTTTTTTAAATACAGATACTAATGTTGTAAAGTTTGGGTATTAGTTTTGGTAGAGCACTGGAGAGCTAATGGAAAGAGGAACGAGAGGAACCTACTATGGAAATTCAAGCTAGGCAGTAGAGAATCCAGTTCCGACTGAAGTAGCGTATTAACAACCTGTACTTTGAACATGCATTTGTTGAAAGTCTATTCAAAATTTATTACTATTCTAACCCATGGTTAAAGGATATGGTAGAACAGGCTAATCTACGACAATGTGGTGCCTACCTCCAACAAAGCTAAATCCTCTCCCCCCCTCTCTTTCTCTCTCTCTCTCCTTTCTCTTTTTCTTTTCTTTCTTTTCTTTTTTGAGCTGAGTACTGAACCCAGGGCCTTGCTAGGCAAGCACTATATTGCTGAGCTAAATCTACAACCCCTTAAATAGTGTATTTCTAAAGTCAAACACTTCTCATTAAGGTTAAGCAACAATGACTCCTAGAAAACCCAAGGACCTTCAAGTCAGCTTTTACTGTGAACCCTTCCCCTTGCTTCTCAAAGATTGCCCTCTGTACAGTTTTGTCTGCTTTTCTAGTGAGATCTTAGAGGCTGAGCCCTCTAAAGGCACTTTGTTGGGTTACTTGGCATCAGTGATGTCAAAGCCTGTTTGAAATTCCCTTATAATGGGGAGCAGAAACAAATCTTCTAGAAATCCAATGGCCATTGTCAAATCTACACATGTTGACTAGAGCCAGAGTGCCCATGTAGGATGCCTAATTCACGAACACATGAAAATCTGCACCAAAAACTGACCAGCAAGGAAAGTGATATTTCTGAGCAGACATCATGGAATCCTGCATCTGCCAAGCTCAAGACAGCAACAAAGCCAAGGTCACCCTTTATGCACAGCTGTGGTGGCTGCTTGGGACATTCACCCCCATTCCTGTGCTCCAGGGTGACAGAGGGAGCTTTCTTCTATGGGGCTGAAAGCCTGCTCTTCTCTCTGAATTGGGCCTCTTCACTGAAAAAAAATGGGTTCAGTCAGATGAACCAGGTGGGGCTCTGCCAGAGGACAGTGTTTCTTTTTTTTTCAATTTCAACTGAGGTATTTTATCATTAAAAGAAGTTTGCCAAAATATGCGTTTCTCATTTTGTCCAGTCACATATGATTCTTCATTGCTAGCCAAACTACCATCTAGAGCAGTATTATTTTTCACAATAGGCAAAGAACTATCTATTCGTCCTGTGAGAGATTGTCTTCCACTGCTACCGGGAATGACCGGACCTTTCTCGATGTGGGGGCCTTCTTGATATGTCCCATTCTACCACAGCTGAAACATCTAGGTTCCTGGCGCCTTCGTGGTCTCCTGGGGAAGGCTCTTCCTACCCAAGGTTCTGGTTCATAGCAGTAGTAACCTCTAGCCTCTTGGTACCTATGTTGACCTCTGTAAGGTGCTTCTCCTTCCCAAGCCCTTGTGGAGGATAGTGTTTCTAACTGCAGGAGCCATGCTGCTTTTCCAAGTCAAAATATCACAGCACAAGGAGGTTCTCTGATACCTAACCTTTAAAGTCGTGAGCTATTTTGTTCCATCTTTATAATTGGTTTTAAAGACCCTCATTAGTATTAACTAAAAGATAAGCAGCAATATAAACTAATGGCTTTCATCATTTCACTTACGAAGATTTGTTATGTGTATGCACCACATGTGTGCCTGGTTCCCACATTATGGACAGCTGTGATGTGCCATGTGGGTTCTAGAAACTGGACGCGGGTCCTTTGAAAGACCAGCCAATGAGCTTAACCACTAAGATATCTCCTTAGACTTAACTTGAGAGTATTTGTAAATAGCATTTTGCTGTTGCAGTTATACTGCCTTTGACAAAATAATATTTAGTGCAGTAGCAATGACTGTAAGGTAACTAAACCGAAGTCCCCTTTTCTGCTAAAACAAAGCTGAGGTCAGTGTAAAAGAAATGTATGCCTTTGACAATATTTAGTGCAGTAGCAATGACTGTAAGGTAACTAAGCCAAAGTCCCCTTTTCTGCTAAAACAAAGCTGAGGTCAGTGTAAAAGAAATGTGTAGGACTAGCTGTGGGTCACAGCTTTGTGTAAGGCTTTTGGAGGCATGTCAGTCACCTGTCTGGAATGTCGAATAGGCCCACTCATAAACAGAACTATCATTTCTAAATATTTTTGTATAATCAGCCTTAGTTACATAAACACCGAAAGATGCTAATGAAGTTTGTGTCTATCATTACATTACACTCAGGTGGGAATACTCTTTAGTGCATTGATTCTCAACCTTACTAACGGCTGCAAACCTTAAATGTAGTTCCCATTGTTCTAGAGACTCCAACCATAAAATTAGTTTGTTGTCACTTCACAACTGTAATTTTGCTACTGTTATAAATAGTAATGTGAATAACAGATATGCAGGATATTTGATATGCAACTCCAAAGGGCAACTCCAATTGAGAACTGCTGCTTAAGAGCATTGTTAGAATGTAACTGACTTACACCAGGTAATCGGTAACAGTCAACGTTCTGCATGGCAAACTAGCCCCTGTTCACATAGCTTTAAAATCATCATTTATAGTCACTGCCTTGCTGTTTGTTTCAGCTCCTCGATGAGCGTCTTGGCTTATAATTGATTTTGGTAATCCCAAGTCTATTTCTACCCAAATAACTCAAGTTTTAGTGTTTCTTATTGTCTATTTCCATAACAAACAAACTAAAAGCAAAGAGAGGCCCAAAGGAAGATCTTTAGAAACTATCTGATGACATTTCAATTAAAGTGAATGAGATATGGTTAAAAGAGTAAAGAGTGTGTCATGGGGCCCTTTATTTGC